GTTGGAGACAGTGCTGATGTCGATACTGACGTTGCTGCTTGCCCCAGTGGTGGAGTCAGTGCTGCCTGTGATGCTAGCGCCGATGCGGTGGTTGATGCTGGCGGGGGTGCTGGCGTCGGAGCTGGAGTAGATGCTGGTGTTGGTTACGTAGATGCTGGCTTCGGCGCTGGAGTCAGTGATGTCTTCGATGCTGGCGTTGATGCTGGGGTTGATAGTGGCGTTGGTGCTGGCCTCAATGCTGGGGTCTGTGCTCGCGTCGGTGCCGCCGCACACTTCGAAGCCTTGTGGTGCAAGCTATCGTGTCCCGGCCGCGTGGCCGAATAGCGTGGTGGCCGAAAGTGTCGTGACTCGTATCGGCGCTAGCATCGGTGTTGGATGCATCACTGGGGTCACTGCTGTCTTCGGTGCTGGTGCCGATGCAGGTGCCGGTGCTAGCGTCGCTGCTGGCGCGAGTGCTGATTTTGGTGGGGCGACAGGTGAAGCGCGGGATGGGGCGTCGGGGAGAGAGGCGGGGAGGGCTTCAGACAGGGCGTCGGGGGGAACGTCAGCTATGACGTCGTGCAGGTGGCCTGCGAAGCACGCCCGTCGCAGTCGTGTTGCGTGTCGATGGGCGCGTGGAGGCTGGTTTCGACACCGTCGTGACGGTCGATGCGGGGGTCGATGCTGGCGCAGGTACTGGCGTCGATGCTGGTGTTGTTGATGACGTCGATGCTGTCTCTGGTGCCAGAGTCAGTGCCGCCTTCAATGCTGGCGCTGATGCTGGGGTTGATGCTGGCGTCTGCGCTGGGGTCGATGCCAGGGTCGGTATTGGTGCTGGTACTGACGTCGGTGCTGGCTGCGGCATTGAGGCTCTCACTGTCTTCAGTGCTGGTGCCGATGCTGTCGTGCTGACGTCAGTGCCGGCGGCAGTGCTTGCTTCGGCGTTCGAATCGGTGCCAGTGTCGATTCCGGTGTCGATGCTGGGTCCGATGCTGTGGTCGATGGTGTCTCCCATGTTGGCACCGATGCAGTTGTCGGCACTGGCGTCATTGCTTGCGTTGATGTGGGGGGCAGTACGCGTGTCGATACTGACGTCGGCGCTTACACCGATGCTGGGGTCGACGCTCTCCTCGATGCTGGTGGGTGTGCTGGTGCCGGTGCTGAGGTCAGCGCTGTGGACGGTGCTGGCTTCGGTGTTGGTTTCGATGTTGACGTTGAAGCTGGCGTCGATGCAGGCGTCGACGGTGTGGTGAGGGTTGGTTTCGATGCTGGGGTCGGTGGTGGTGACGATGCGGGCGTGGATGCGGGTTCTGGCGCTGGAGTCAATACTGTTCTCGATGCTCGCGTCGATGCTGGAGTCGATGCTGGCGTCGATGCTGGCGTCGATGCTGGCTGCAATGCTGGGGCTGGGGTCGATGCTGGCGTCGGTGCGGACGTCGATGCAGGCCCCTGTGCTGGAGTCGATGCTGTCTTCGGTGCTGGGGTCACTGTCTTGGGTGCTGGTGCTGATGCTGGTGTCGATGCTGGCGTCGCTGCTGGCGTGAGTGCTGACTTTAGTACTGGCGTCGATGCTGGGGTCAGTACAGTTGTCGGTGTTGATGTCGATGCTGGCTTCGAGGCTAGGGTCAGGACTGCCTTCGGTGCTGGCGTCGATGTGGGCGTCGAAGTTGTCGTCATCGATGGTTTTGCTGCTGAGTCAGTGCTGGTGTCGATACTGACGCCGCTGCTGACTGCGATGCTAGTGTCGATGCGGGGGTCGATGCTGGCGTGGTTGCTGGCGTCGGTGCTGGAGCCGATGATGTTGTTGGTGATGACGCAGGGCTTCCGCGCTGGAGTCAGTGCAATCCTCGATGCTTACGTTGATGCTATGGCTGATGGTGGCGTTGATGCTGGGGTCGATGCTGGGGCCGTTTCTGGTGCCAGTGATGGAGTCGATGCTGGTTCCGATGCTATAATCGATAGTGTGTTCGGTGCTGGCGCCGATGCTGTTGTCGGTCCCGGCGTCGATGCTGACGTTGATGCTGAGGGCAGTGTTCGTGTCGATGCTGATGTCGTTGCTGGCACTGATGTTCGGGTCGATGTTGTCCTCGATGCTGGTGCGGATGCTGGCGCCAGTGCTGAGGTCAGCGCTGTAGTCGATGCTGGCGCCGTTGTGGGTTTCGATGTTGGCCTTAACGCTGGTGTCGGTGCTGACGAATATATGCTGTCGTGAGGGCTGATTTCGATGCGGGTGTCGATGCGGGCGTGGGTGCTGGCGTCGATGCTGGAGTCGATGCTGGCTTTGGTGATGACGTAATTTTTCGATCTCTGGCTCCGGTGCAGGAGTCCGTGCCGCCTTCGATGCTGGCGCTGATGTCGGGGTTGATGCTGGTGTCGGTGCTGTCGTCGATGGTGGGGTCGGTACTGGTGTCGATGCTGACGAGGGTGCTGGAGTTAGTGTTGGCTTTGATGCTGAGGCGTACATTTTCTTCGATGCTGGCGTCGGTACTGATGTCGATGCTGGAATCGTTGCTGGTGTCGATGCTGACGTCTTGCTGGGTGCGATGATGATATCGGTGGCGCTGATCCTCCTCCTCGATCGCTTCATCTACCTCCGCCTTGGCCACGACCTTCACCTCACTCATGGTCATATGGCTTGGTGTCGGGTTCGACGTCGACGCCAGAGTCAGAGATGACCTGGGTGTTTGCGTTGGCGTCGGGTCTGGCGTCGGCACCAGAGACTATGTGGGTGCGAACGTCGTTCTGGCGGTAGGGTTCGGGCTAGCACTCGGGGCGGTTTTTTGGAGATGTCAGCTCATCCTCCGCCTCGCTGCTGCTGTTGGCGGCGCTGCTGGTCGCAGTCGTGGTGGTGCCATTGCTGGTCGCAGTCGTGGTGCTCCTGATCGTCCGGGGAGGCGTTGGGTAGCGAGTCGGGCATGGTGTCGGAAAGGGCGTTGGGGTTGGTGCTGTTGATGCCAGCGTAGGTGTTGGCGCGTTGGAGCTGGCGCCGGCGCCGGCGTGGGTCGATACTGCGACTGTTGCTTTTCTGGGGCCGAAGAGGATGCCGAGCATGGTGCGGGACGTTGCGATTGCCGCCGTGGCCGCCTTGCGGGAGGCGAAGGCTACGATGCCGGCTCATGGATGCCGCCCTTGAGGATGGGGCCGAAGAGGCTGAAAGTGGCGTACAGGGCGTCGCAATTGATGTAACGATCCAGTTTCTGCACGTAGATGGTCGATGCTTTGATTGTTGAGGCTGGCATGGATGCGGGTTCTGGTGCTGGAGTCGACACTGTCCTCGATGCGCTCGTCAAAGCTGGAATCGATGCTGGTGTCGATGCTTGCGTCGATGCTAGATTCGATGCTGGCGTCGGCACGGACGTCGATGCAGTCTTGCTGGAGTCGATGCTGTCTTCGGTGCTGGGGTCACTAGTAGCTTCGCTGCTGGTGCCGATGCTGGCGTCGACGCGTGAGTGCTGGCTTTGGCACTGGCGTCGATGCTGAGGTCAGTACAGGTGTCAGTGTTGACTTCGATGCTGGCTTCGAGGCCAGGGTCAGGACTGCCTTCCGTGCTGGCGTCGATGCGGGCGACGATGTTGTCGTCATCGATGGCTTTGATGCTGGGGTTAGTGTTGGTGTCGATACTGACGTCGCTGCTGGCTCCGATGGTAGGGCCATTGCTGTCTGCGATGCTAGCGTCGATGCGGGGGTCGATGCTGGCGTGGTTCCTGGCGTCGGTGCTGGAGCCGATGGTAATGATGGCGATGATGTAGGTGCTTGCTCCAGTGCTAGAGTCAGTGCAATCTTTGATGCTGGCGTTGATGCTGGGCTGATGGTGGCGTCGGTGTTGGGGTCGATGCTGGGGTCGTTGCTGGTGTCAATGCTGGCGTCGGTACTAGCTGCAATATTGGGGTCACTACTGTCTTCGGTACTGGTGCCCACTCTGGCGTCGATGCTGACGTCGTTGCTGGCGTCAGTGCTGGCTTTGGTGCTGGGTTTGGTGCTATTGTCAGCGTTGATGTCGGTGTTGGCTCTGGTGCTGGAGTCAGCCCTGACTTCGATGCTGGCGCCGATGCCAGCGTCGATGCTTGCCTCAGTGCTGGCGTCGACGCTTGCGACAGTGGCAGCGTCGATGTGGGGGTCGGTGCTGGCATCGGTGCCAGCGACGTTGATGGCTTCGATGCGGGGATCGGTGCTGGTGTCGATGCTGACGTACAATCCAGCTCCGGTGCTCGAGTCGATGTTGTCTTCGATACTGTAGTCAATGCCGGGTCCGATGCTGTTGTCGGTCCTGGCATCGATGTTGACATTGATACATGATTGGTGGCAGTGCTCGTGCCGATGCTGACGTTGATGCTGGCACTGATACTGAGGTCGATGCTGTCCTCGATGCTGGTGTGAATGTTGACGCCAGTACTGAGGTCAGCGCTGTATTCGATCCTGGCGTCAGGGTGGGTTTCGGTGTTGGCGTTAATGCTGGTGTATATGCTGACGTCGATGCTGGTTTCGATGCGGGGGTCGATGCGGGCGTGGGTGCTGGCGTCGATGCTGGAGTCGATGCTGGCTGGCGTTGGTGACGACGTAAATGCAGGCTCCTGTATTGGAGTCGATGCCGTCTTCGATGCTGGCGCTGATGCTGAGGTTGATGCTGGCGTTGGTGCTGGCGTCGATGGTTGAGTCGGTACTGGTTTCGATGCTGACGTGGGTGCTGGAGTCCGTGCTGGTGCTGGTGCTGACTTTGATGCTCAGGTATACCCTGTCTTCGATGCTGGCGTCGATGCTGGCGTCAGTAGTGGCATCGATGCTGGAATCGGTGCTCCTCCTCCTCCTCCTCCTCCTCCTCCTCGCTCCTCGTCCTCGTCCTCCTCCTCTTCCTCGCTCCTCGTCCTTCTTCTCCTCCTCCTCCTCCTCCTCCTCCTCCTCCTCCTCCTCTCCTCCTCCTCCTCCTCCTCCTCCTCCTCCTCCTCCTCCTCCTCCTCCTCCTCCTCCCTCTTCTCCCCCGAAGTCCCCCCCTCCGCCCCCCTCGTCCCCCCCCCGCCCCGTGGAGGCCAAGTGGGAGTCCATCCGCGCCGCCCAGGCGCACCGCCGCCGCCGCCGCCGCCGCCTGCCCACCATCCCCTTCCCCCGCGGCCCCGCCGCGGGCTCGAGGGCCGTCCCAGGCTCCAGGAGGTGTGTCGGTTGGGTGGGTGGGGGAGGGAAGGGAGGGAAGGGTCGCGGAGGAAGGGAGGAGGGGGAGGGAAGGGGGGGCGGAGGGAAGGGTCGCGGAGGAAGGGGGGAGGGGAGGGGGTCCAGGTGGTGTTGGGGGGGCGGAGGAAGGGAGGAGGGGGAGGGGGAGGAGGCAAGCTAGGTGCGCTCGCGTCATATCTGACGTCCTACCCCTCCTCCCCATCCCTTACCATGGCGCTGATTTTCTCTATCCGCGGACGCGTGTCGTAGCGGACCTGTGGCTCCGCGCGCGCGTGCGTAGTGGGTGGTGGTGCACGTGCGTGCGTGCGTGCGTGTGTGCGTGGTTGTCGGTGGTGTGGTGGTGGTGGTGGTAGTGGTGGTGGTGGTGGTGGTGGTGGTGGTGGTGGTGGTGGTGGTGGTGGTGCTGGTGGTGGTGGTGTTGGTACTGGTGGTGCTGTGTGGTGGTGTGGTGGTGTGGTGGTGATGGTGGTGGTGGTGGTGGTGTGGTGGTGCTGGTGGTGGTGTTGTACTGGTGCTGGTGCTGGTGGTGGTTGTGGTGGTGGTGGTGGTGGTGGTGGTGGTGGTGGTGGTGGGTGGCGGTGCGGCGCGGTGGTGGCGGGCGGATGGGCGCGCGAGAAAAGGGCCCGCGCTGGGGCGAGAACGCCATCCTGAACGACGGAGGCCAAACACCGATCCGAAAATGAGGCCCACGCTGCAGCGGGAGCACGATTCGGAACGATTCGGGAGCAGAAATGAGGCCGGCGCCTCAACGAGAGCAGCATTTTGGGGAAAAAATGGCGCCGGCGCCTCAGCGAGAGTCGTTTCCCGGGATTTCCCGGGCATCCTGTGTGTAAAAAACAGTACGCGGAGGGTGCGCGGCCATCACCCGGACGCCATCAGGGGAAGGATTCGGGAGCAGAAATGAGGCCGGCGCCTCAACGAGAGCAGCATTTTGGGAAAAAAATGACGCCGGCGCGAGAGCAGCATTTTAGGAAAAAGTGACGCCGGCGCCTCAGCGAGAGTCGTTTCCCGGGATTTCCCGGGCATCCTGTATGTAAAAAACAGTACGCGGAGGGTGCGCGGCCATCACCCGGACGCCATCAGGGGAAGAGGGAGAGTAGATTCATATTGAGTAATTGTGGAGGATGGGAGGAGGGAGAGGGGGGGAGGAGTGGGAGGAGGGGGGGCGGGGGGAGGTGGGCGAGGGCGGGGGCGGGAGGACGAGGGGGCGGCGGGCGAGAGGAGGTGGGGCAAGCTTATGTGCGCTCGCGCCGTATCTGACATCCGAGCCCTTCCACCCATCGGCGGACCTGGAACTCCCGAAAGGGCACCATCGTGTTATGCGTAATCGGAAGAGGCGATTTGTGTACATCGGGGGAAGAGGGGGGGGTTGCGGATGAGCTGGCGGATGGGCAGGAGGACGACGAGAATAGGAGGGAGGACAACGAGCAAGATGAGGAATGGAGGAGGAGGAGGGGGAGGAAGAGGAGGAGGAGGAGGAGGAGGAGGAGGAGGAGGAGGAGGAGGAGGAGGAGGAGGAGGAGGAGGAGGAAGAGGCGGAGGAGGAGGAGGAGGAGGAGGAGGAAGCGGAGGAGGAGGAGCAGGAGCAGGAGCAGCAGGAGGAGGAGGAGCAGGATGAACCCGCGTGCGCCCGAGCCCGCCCCTCCGAGAGACAGGCTCTCAGATTTTCGCGGCGGGCCCGCGATATACGCCGACATCCTCACCCTGAACCATTCATCTCGTCCTCAACAGGGTGCCGCATCTACACACAGCAATACCTAGAACCATATTGCCTGCCTGGCATTGGCGAATCCGTCGAAAGCGAGCTGGCGCCTGTGTCCTACTTCGGCTTCGAAACACGACGCCTATTTCGAGACTACCACAGCGCCCAGCAGCCACCACGACATCCACCACAAGCACGAACCATGACTGTACCGCGGGGATCAACCGCGAGAGGCTCGGGAATTGCGCCGCGCCCTGGAGATCGTATCGAGCCGCACTTCGAGCAGATGGCTTACGCCACGAACCACTGTGCATGCGATCGGGCAGGTCTCGATCGCTGGAGGAACTGCACCTGGACGGCCAGTGAGCCAAGGACCGCCCCGACACGTACTGGCGCCAGACCAACGGGGGGAAAGGGCCACAACCACAGTGGCAAGGGAAGCGCCGCCAATAGCGACTGCGAGGCCGACAGCCAAAGCCATAATGGCAAGAGGAAAAACAACAAGGGCAAGGGCAAAGCTTCAACCCAGGCATGAAAAGACGCCCAAAAAAAAGGTGGCGCACAAGGACACAACGACCACGTCACCATCATCAAGAAGAGTTTGCCGAGGGGAAGATCTACCCCACCAGGAGACGTTGCTGGGAGCTGCCGCCGAACGACCCCAAGCTCAGATCACAATGGAGTAAGATCAAGCGCATCGAGCAGAGGCGCGCCGCAACAGCTATCGCCAGGAACAGCGCAGCTGGCCTACCTAGGACCGGCGCAGTCGCGCAGGTCGCTTTCAACAAAGTCATGGTCCTCATCGGCATGCCCCAGCAAAACAGGAAAGGGACATCGACAACGCCAAGAGGACCATGGAGGATTTCTACGAGCCCACCGGAGCCCACCAGCACCATGCACAGATCAACGCGACGGGATCGAGAACAAAATTGAGAAGCTCCGCGTCACGCAGCGGTACATCGACAACGCAAGGGGCGACATCCATAGGGAAACGGGAGCTGCCGACGATGGAGCTGCTGGCCCCCTGACAAGGAAGCGTCGTCAAAGAGGGCGCCCGCGCCAGCGCCGCGGATACAGACGAGGGCTGGATAAACCAGCGAGGGGCAGGATATCGGCGCGCTGCTCAGGGCGCTAAGGAGGGCAACCGCGGCATGGTGGCAGACATCAGACAGAATGACGATGCAGCCGCCAACGAGATCAATTGCCTCAGGTCAAGGTAAGCGCCGAGAAGGTGGCGGCCCGTCATGACTTTCTACCGGAGAGAAGCCTAGCAGCACTTTGTAGGACAGGGAATCTGGGGCTTCATGCTGTCTGGGCATCTTCCAAGGTGAACCATTCCAGAGGGATGGCCGTCGAATTGCAGAGGGGGCTCAGAGAAGCACGACGACGACTCATCGACAACAGCGAGGACCGCGCCATCATGGGGCAGCAGCTGCCAGAAGCCCACGGGAGTGCAGCAGAAAACAAGACGCAGGAGTGACATGACGTGAACATCCGCAGCGAGAGGGCCGAGGGGAAAGCCAGAATGAGACAGGCCCACGAGGAGCTACGAGTGCAACGGAGGCACATGAAATCACTGGCATGCGGTGTACGCGATGCATTGCAGCAGCTAGTCTACAACGTCGAGCACCAGATCGGAGAGCGAGACGCAAAGCAGGCGTAGCAACAGCGAGGTAACCTGCATCAAGTATTCACCGAAATGAGCGAGTGCGAGCGCCGCGCGCAATGCGGAGTCCCGCTGGTAGAGGGACAGGCGCAGCTTGCGATGCAGAGGCCCGAAATGGGCACAGCAGAACAACAGGGCGCTTACCGTTGGAAGAGAGCGAGTGGATTAAAATGGAAAATCCAAAGAAGGGGATGCGACCTAGAACTGCCACCAGGCACGTCGCGACGCAGCAACGGCGAGGGGGCGCCTCGCGAACGTGGAAATGGTCGACGCCATCGAGCAGGCCCTCAACGCGATCACCCCTGTCGGCGGCGACGAGCGACGGCAGATTCTACCGCAGGTGCTGCCCTTCGCGCCCAATGCAGTGGAAGACGGCGGGGCGCAGCCTACCCGGGCCCAAAGCGACCAGATGGCCGCGTTGCCAGGGGGGCGATATTTCTGGAGCGCTTGCGTCGCGTCGCAACCTGAGATATCGTGGCCTGGATCGCGCCGCCCTGCGCTGGCGAGGCCGCCGCGAGTTCCGATTGCGCCGCCTGCGGGGCAAGGGCCAGACGTCGAACAGGAATTCCCGTCGCCGGTTGCATGGCCCGGGGAGTCCGCGCCATTTGGTCAGCCGAACTTTCCGACCGAGATCTTCAGCATCAGCGTCGACGCCGTTTCGACGGCGAAGACGGGATAGCGGCGTCGCCGCGACGGAGGAGTTGACGCCGCAAGCTATCAGCTCACTGCGAGTGCTCATCGGCGCGCCAGGGAGAGGATCGTCTTTGCCACCTTCGCGAAAGCACCCTTCGCCGACAACGAGGAGCTCGAGCGCGTGAGACAGGGGGGGCGACAACCGACCCTGGCGAGCCGCGCCAGGTCATGCCGATTTCAACCGGCGCATAGGGGCCCGCCGACCTGGCTACGAGGGGCGACGCAGCCAACGCGGCCAGGGGCGGCGCGGAATCATGCTGGCGGCTCCGAAGCGGCGTCGAACCAACTACAGGCCGCTCCGCGCAAGGTGAGTTTGGAGCACCACTGCGCGCGTGCTAGCCAGGCTGGCGTGGCCCACCGCGGCGGGACGACCTCGACCTCGTACTGGCGGGGGGCGGAATTTAGACGGGCAGATGACCGGGCCCCGACCGGCCGCGGGGGCCTGCAGCGGCGCTGTTCTGGCGGCGCGCAAAGTCAGATGGCCCCGACATTCAGGGCGATGGAAGAACGGGCGACGCAGGGAACGCGCGGTTGCCGTAACCATTGCCATATGCACTTCTGACGGCGCCACAGAGCACCGCCTGTCCAGCAAGGGCGACGGATGGGGGGTGACTTCGACCTAGCGAACGAGAGTTGAGGGGGGCTCGGGATCCCCGCTCCGACTTCGGCGACCGCGCGGTCGCTCGCCGACCGATGTGGCAGCGGGTTACCGCGGTAGCGGAGGCAACGCATCGCTTGCCCGAGTTGAAGGACCACCTGTGGAGGTCACAATCCTGATGGGCGCGAGAGGGGAACGCGCCGGTGGACCGCGCCGAGAGGCGTTCGCCGA